GGCTTGCGATAGCCGTCGTCGAAAATATATGTTGAAACGTTACTCTTTACATCGGATTCAGCAAAAATGTCGTGTAGTTGTTTCAATATATAATCGAAAATTGTCTCGGAATGAAATTCAAAAGTGATACTGATTTCTTGAAATGATCTTGGAAAAATTGAAATATACGCAAGAATTAATTTTTGACACTATGTTGAAATGGTCAAACTGAAATTTGAATTCGCTGCAGGTTGATGGATAGGACGGGCAACGGGTATCAAACCTTGATGGAAAGTACGCGGGAGTTGTCGCCGATTCCGCATGCGAATGCATCAGTGCACCAGCTCGAAACTAGCTCTATCACCCTCGGAAGTGCTTCTGAAACGGGCCATGACGAAGGAATCCCTATGACAGCAGAATGGAGCGACGAATCCCGCGATCTCAAACGTGGACGCGACTCGAGTGACGATGTGGTCAATCATCATCCAATCGAAGGGCCAAATCCCTCCATGAGGTCTGCTCGAAACCCCGGCGAGACATGTTCAGGTGGTCCGAACGACCTCACAACGAACGCTGCGTCTGGAGCCTCGAAGAGTGTGCTTCCAGGGTCGAACTTGCCAGGGATTTCAGGAGCGAAGCGTCAACGAACTGAAATGGAGAGTGCAGCACTGAATCGGGTTGAAACCCTGCGACGTGAGCTGGAAGCGGCTCGACTTCTCGAAGCGCGCATGCGCCACAAGCATGAAATGGAGTTGGCAGACAAGGATGCCGAACTGGAGAAGATCAAACGGCGCCTCAAGCTTACGATGACCGAAGAAAGCGAGACTCAAGCAAATTATCGCCGAGCGAAGACTGAACTCTTTGAACTGCGACAAGCCCAAGACTCCCTTCGCCTCGAATTCGATGCTGCATTGCAGAACAAGGACGATCATGTCGAAGAGTTGCAAGATCACCTTCGGTCAAAGGAGGAAGCATTCAAGCGTGCGGAGATCGAAGCACAGCAGAAGATCTCGTCCCTCGAGGAGAAATTAGCCCTCGTGGCAGCGCAAGCCGAGCCATCATCGTTGCGATCGTCGGTATGGACACACTTGTGCCTTGGTTTCTGACAAACCGACGTAGGTGGTGCAATCGGAGGTCCGTCTCCTTCGCGAACAACTTGCAGAAAAGACGATTCTCGCTACGGCAGGGACGCCTTTTGACGTTTTGAGAATAACTCAAAGTGTAGAATGCGATGGAAAGGCTGAAAGCGGCCGACGAGACGATCAAGGAAGCCAATGACATTCGTGAGTTGCGCCGGCGTCTCGATGAGCTGGAGCGCGCAGAAGGAAAACATCTTGAAGAGGTTGGTTGTTGGCATGGTGTTGGAATCCTCATCAACTGAGTGATATCTCAGCTTCGCCATTTGCGACACCAACTCAAGAGCCATGCTGCATTGGAAGAGAAGGTTGCGAGTTTATACCGTGCGCAAGAACTGTCGGAGCAACAACTTCAAGAGGCGTTTGCCATTCGAGTACGATACACGTGTTGGTGCATTTTCATCTGAAGAAGTCACGTGCTAGGCGGTGCATGACGATTTAGTCGAAGAACAAAAACAATGGAAGGCTGTGTTTGAGCCCGTGTTTGCTGACCCCAAAAGTAAGCTCATCCTTGACACGGCAGCCCGGTAGATGGCATTTCATTCGTTCTGGTGTGCAGAAGGCATCTCGGAAAAGCTCGCGGCTGAACACCCCGCGAAAGCCATATGCCAGTTATTTGCGATCCAACAGCATGATTTGGAAACACTGATCGACGAGCGAGTAAGGCGGGTCACGCCGTGTGTTTAAGATGTCACAGATTGCGGTAGCATCAACTGGAGCGCCAAGTCCAGTCATTGCAAAGTACGGTGGACGCCATGACGAAAGAGCAATTGACGTTGCAATCGACTATTGCTCAACTCGAAGCCACCGACGCTGATCGAATGGAAAAGGTACGTCGAATCCATGCACTCCACCCACGTGACATCCAACGCAGATGAACGTGACGGCGCGGTCAGCCTCTCGCCTCCAAAACACAAACAGCGACTTGATTACATTGCTCAAGTCCTTTGAAGCCACTGGTGGCGGGTCCGACGACCAACTGGCGCTCGTCCAACAACTGGAAACGTCCCTCAAGAACGCCGAAGAGACGATTGCGACCCTCCAAGTCACTCAGCAAACGCTGCCATCGCCCGCATTGCTGGCGAAAACGAAAGGTCGAGTCACCGAGTTGGAGGAAGCCCTCCGTCAAGAAAAGATGACGTCGCTACAGCTTCAAGCGCACCTGGAGCAGGTGCAAGCAAACGCAGCTCTCGTTGAACGCAGGTTGGCCAAGGGCGCAGTCAACCAAGACTCGACCAAAGTGTTGCCACTTTCTACGGTGATGTTTCAAACTGACTTTCCATGCCCACTAATCACGGTTGTGTTTAGAACCCCATGAGCGCATCCAAATCAAAGCTAGAGGTTTGACATGCCCTTGCCTCGCTCTGCCCACTTACTCTTCATGTTCTTCGACGTAGACTGCCGAAATGGCCGAACTACGCAGGGAAAACGAGCGGCTCAAGGAAATTGTGCAAAATGTGAACGTGCAAACGCCTGGTCCAAAAACGATTCTTCCGACGCCGATGAAAAGCGCGTCGACGTCACACGACACCATCGAGGGTTTGCAAAAGATGAACCAGCGGCTAAAAGAAGTGTTCCGAGAACAAATTGCCAAGTACCGCGACGCTGTGTACCAATGCACGGGGTACAAGGTCGACCTCAAGTACCCCGAGTTGCTGCTTCGAAGCATTTACGCTGAAAATGAAGGCGACGAGATCAAGTTTCAGTTCAACAACGGCGAGTTGGAGCTGCTTGAGACGCCGTTCGTCGCTGGACTGGATCAGCGCAACATGGCGTACTTGACCATCTGCAACTCGATTCCGGCCTTTCTCAGCGGCGTCACTCTAGCGCTGTTTGAAAAGCAAACGTACCAGGGGAACTGACAAAAAGCGACGCAGGAATAACGTGGATGAACTGATGGATTACTTGGCTTTACTTGCTTCGTACTCGGTGTAATTGCCTTCGAAGAACGTGGCGTTGCCGTCGCCTTCATACGCCAAAATGTGGGTCGCAATGCGATCGAGAAACCAGCGATCATGCGAGATCACCATCGACACGCCGGCAAAGTCGACCAGCGCCATCTCGAGCGATCTACCGCCGCCATCGAAAAGCAAGTCGACATGACATACCACACTGAACGTACCGCAACGTGTCGACGTCTAAATCGTTGGTCGGTTCATCGAGCAAGATCAAGTTGTGGCCGCCCAGCAACATCTTGGCCAAATGCACACGGTTGCGCTCGCCACCACTCAACTTGCCCACCTTTTTTCAGGCACAAGTCAGGATCGAGTCGTCGGCCCGTGGCACAAGGACACGTACATGTTTTTCTTGCATCTGGCCCTTGAGGTTGAAGGACGCAATGTAGGCGCGGGTGTTGATGCGGTCGCCATTGACTTCGACAAACTCGTTGTCCCCAGAAATTTCTTCGTACACGGTGTTGCGACTCTTCAGTTCCTTCCTCGATTGGGTCACAAACCCCATCTGAACAGTTTGACCTACACGAAAATGCATCACGCCATGCAGCAACGAGGTCGACGTACCGAAGGTGACGGTGCCGGCATCTGGCTCCATGTCGCCCGCAAGGATGTTAAAGAGCGTACTCTTCCCAGCGCCGTTGGGTCCGACAATGCCGACGATGCTCTTGGGTTCGATTTCAAAGCTCAGGTTCTTGATGAGGCACTTGCCATCGATCGTTTTGGACAAGTTCGATACAGACAGCACTTTGTTGCCGAGCCGAGTCGGTCGAGGAATGACGATCTGGCCCTCTTCCTGTCGATGAAAGCTGTCTACACACCACCACCACGACAAATTCTAACATGGCGTACCACGATGGCAACCGCGTACCGTCGTTCTTGAGTTGTTCGATCTGGCGCTGGCGCGCCTTGGACCCCTTCTTGTTGCCCTGGTGTGTTTGCACCCATTCCAACTCCATCGCGAGTTGCTTGGACCGCACCGCCTCGCGCTTCTTGTCCATGTTCAGGCGGCTGCGCTTCTGCTCCAAAAAATACGTGTAATTGCCTTCGTACACGTAGTTGTTTCCGCGCTCGAGCTCGAGAATCCATCCCGCGACGTTGTCCAAAAAGTACCTAATGCCACTTCTTCGTAAGCACTCCTCTTGGCCATGAACGAGTACCGGTCGTGCGTAATGGACAGCACGGTGCCCTTGTAGCTTTTCAAGTACAATTCTAGCCACCCCACCGACTCGGCGTCCAAGTGGTTGGTGGGTTCATCCAGCAGCAATATATCGGGCTTCTCCAACACAAGTCGGCACAGCGCCACACGACGCCGCTCGCCCCCTTCAACAGGTGCATCAGAACGACGTCATGTATGGCACGCACGACCCACCCGATAGGACCGTCACGTCAGAGTCGCCAGGCGGCACGCGCAACGCAGCCATCGCTCGCTCAACTTCGTACGTCAAATCTAACGGCAAGAACTCGTTGTTTCGCAGTGAAGGAAAACAAGCGCATGCGCACCCCAGCACCCCAACAGCTCGATCTTTTCTTGCAGCTTGGCTTGTTCGTCCAGCAGCTTGTCGAAATCGGCATCTGGTTCGCCCATCGCCGCCGACACCTACATGGACGAAGGACCACGGTGAAGATGACTTCGAGCGCGACATGGACAATACGTCGTCGAATTGCTTGAGGAGCGCGGTGGACTCCTTGATGCCGTCCATGACGTTTTCAAACACAGTCTTGTTCGGATCCAACTGCGGTTCCTGGGGGAGGTATCCAATGCGAAGACCAGGTTTCGTCCATCTTTCTCCGTCAAAGTCTTTGTTCACGCCCGCCAACACTTTCATCAGCGTCGATTTACCGCTGCCGTTGCTGCCCAAGATCCCGATCTTCGCGCCATTCAGGAACGCCAAGTTCATATTTTCAAACAACTTTTTGCCGTTCGGAAGACTCACGCCGAGTTCCCTGACGTGCGCAACAAAGTCACCAGGAATACCACCACCAGCGTTGTTCGTTGCACTCATGCAGCGCACGTTGCCTGCGACGGACGTCCGGCCGCGCGGAAGATGCTGCTGCTTGAGGAGGCGCCACATTGGTCTGCTTCGAATGGTCGATCTGGTAGTCGAACAATGCAGCGCTCCCATTGGTGGATTCCCCGAATCTCTTCTATGATTGGTCGATACAAGTTATTGACCTCTGTGATTGGTCAAAACACTTTTTGGCCCCACCAACAACTCAAGAGCGTGCTCGATGTTGCGGTGGGTCAGCGGCAACAGTCGGCGCACGCTGTTGCGGTGCTCGTGCGCTCGAAACTTTAGCTCGTCCCTTGAAGGTATGTCTTGCGCCTTGAAGATAACGTCATCGTCTCTGGCTAAAACGTAGAAGTGACGCCGAAAACGTTGGGCAAGATCTTGGCATCGCAGTTGGATCAAATCCCCGTTGAGCAAACGCGCAACTTCAGCATCGTGGCCCACATCGACCACGGCAAATCTGTCGGCACACTGCTGCAATGATACATGGACTTATTGGCGTGCGTGTAGACACTTGCCGATCGGTTGCTCGAACTCAGTGGGAACATTACGTCCAAAGAACGCGAGTCCGCCCAACACTTGGACAACCTTCAAGTCGAGCGGGAACGAGGCATCACGGTCAAGGCTCAGACAGCATCCATGCTCTACGAAGATAAGTCGTCGAATACGCGGTATCTATTGAACCTTGTCGACACGCCAGGTAGCTGTCCACCACCACGTTGGACATGCTCACATCAACGCAGGCCACGTCGACTTCAGCTACGAAGTGAGCCGGTCGTTAAGTGCATGCGAAGGAGTGTTGCTGCTCGTGGACGCGTCCCAGGGCATCCAGTCCCAAACATTGGCGACGTACCACGCCGCAAAAGAAAAGGGATTGCAGGTCGTCCCGGTCCTGACCAAGATCGACATGCCTCACGCCCAGCCGGAAGAGTGCATGCTGAGTCTGTCTGCGCTGCTCGGTTGGTTTGCTAGTCGAGAACGATCCTGACAGGGATGTAGATGTCGATCCGGAATCGGTACTCCTGACGTCGGCCAAGAGCGGGATCGGCATCACGGACGTATGCATGATGGAGCAGTTCATGACGCTCATGGGGATATAGGTGCTGCAAACAGTGGTGGACCGCTTGCCGCCGCCTGAGGCGAATCGCAGTGCGCCGCTCAAGTGCCTCCTGGTCGACTCGTACTACGACGACTACCGAGGCATTGTTTGTCTCGTCAAGGTGGTGGATGGTCGGATCTCTCCCGGTGACAAGGTCTTGTGTACTCGAAAGTCGACGATTGTGCCGACTGGATTCGGTGTTAGATTGTGAGTGCCGCGACCAAGACGAGCTACGACGTTCAAGAGACTGGGGTCCTCTTGCCCCATCGATCCCCGACGCCAGGGTGGGGGCCGCCTCGTCCATTCAACAACGTGGCTGACTGCTGCAACTGTAGACTCCATGGTGGCCAAGTGGGCTACGTCATTGCAGGTGCCGACTCTCTTCTATGGGATGGAACGTGATGCATATCCAGGCATGAAGACGACGACGGAGGCCAAGATCGGCGACACTTTTTTCCACCCGAGTAAACCCGTCGAGCCGCTGCCTGGCTTCCAGGTGCACCCCATCGACATGGCGGCCATGGAGTTTTACCCCGTCATGCATTAGGAAGTGCGAAGCATGGTGTTTGCGAGCATGTACCCCACAGACGACTGCAACTTTGATGACTTGCGCACGGCCATGGGCAAACTAACGCTCAACGACGCGAGTGTGTCAACTCAAGTCGAAAACAGTGGCGCGCTTGGCATGGGGTACTCCTGCGACTCCTCGACCACGACGAGGATTTACGGATGTATATGCAGGTTCCGATGTGGGTTCTTGGGCCTCCTTCACATGGAGGTGTTTCACCAGCGGCTCGCGGACGAGCAGAACATGCAAGTGCTAGTCACGGCTCCCATGGTGCCGTACAAGATTATCGACGCCAAGGGAAATGAATCCATTGTCGAGACGCCCGCCGACTTTCCCGAGTCGACCAAGTACTACCAAGTGGAAGAACCCATGGTCGAAGCCTCGATCCTGACGCCGTCCGACTATGTCGGCGCCATCCTCGTGCTCACAAACGTGCGGCGACGAAACCTCGGACGAGACTCTCACCGGTCCTTTGATCGATAGGACAAGCGCGGCGTCCAAACCAACATGGTGTACCTCGAAGATGGACGCGTCGCTCTGACTTTTCTCCTCCCGTGGCAAGAAGTCGTGACGGACTTTTACAACGAGCTCAAGACGATCACGTCTGGTTACGGTACGCCTTTGCTGGCTCGATGGATCATGATGAATCGCTTCTTCCAGCATCGCTAAACTACCGCGAAGTGGAGCCCCAAAAGGCCGACATCGTCAAAGTTGACGTTCTCATCAATGGCAAGGTCCTCGACGCGCTCTCCTTTGTGTGCCATCGCTCAAAGGTACGAGTGACTCAGGGCGTCGCCTCCCACTGCATCCACGACAGGCCACCGCGGCCGGGCGAGCGCTTTGCCTCAAGCTCAAGAACGTGATCGATCGCCAACAATATGAGATTTCGATCCAGGCCACGCTGGGGGCCAAGGCACGGCAGATTCTCACTGGTACAGTCCTAGTCTCACCAATTGGTCCAGGTGTTTGCCAAAGAGCGCATTGCCCCATTTCGAAAAGACGTGCTGATCAAGTCGGGCAAAGCCGTGGGCGGTGGCGACATCACGCGCAAACAAAAACTATTGAAGAAGCAAAAGGAGGGGAAGAAGCGCATGAAGACCGTCGGGAATGTCCAGCTGTCCCAGAGCGCGTTCTGGTCTGTCATGTCCAAGTAATGGATGCGCTTTCAAGTGTTTATGGCTTGTCGTGCGTTTGAGCGTCATCCAAGATCCACTGGAGACCTTTGCCAACGTCGGCTACGACCGCGTCTGCTGGGTGCTCGACGTGGTTCCCCACCCCTTGGAACATGCCCGTCTTGGTGAGCACAGACTTCCACACGTCCCCCGCGGCCTTTGCACCCTGCACAACATCGGATTCGTCAAATTGTTGCAGCGCACACCAGCAAGACGTCTCTAGCAAGCTGAACAAGATCGATAGAGGTGGCACTGACCTTGATATCTGTGTACGGGTTGTCGCCCACCATGTAGATCGTAGCAAGCTCTTCCGCGGCAGGGTTCAGTTGCTTTGCGAGAACTTTCTCTGCAAACAAGTACGATGTGCGCTCAGGTTTGCCGTACAGCGTCTGGCGGAGCTTCATGCCCGTCGTTCGAAAGTAAAGGTCCTGCACCCACGGACGCGTTGGAATCCAATTGCGTTGTCGACGGGGGTACCTCCATTACAGCACGGAATGCGCCAGCGCCATACCGCGGCAAGTGGTGTTCGCCGACGTACTGAAAGTCCGAGCAGGCGGAGTACAGGTTAACCTGGGCCCAAAACGAATCATCCAAGGAGGGGAGGGTGCGGCCTTACATGTTGCGCGTCTTCGGCGACCGTGCCGTACTTGCCTTCGTGGGACGTCAACACGTCCATAATGATTTGAATCTCGCGGCCCCAGTATATCGGGTCCATGAGGACAAACACAGCTCTGAAGTCGTGTACGTCGTATTTCCCGTGATGTGGCACCTGCATGAACGGTATGGGGCCTGGAACATTCGCTTGCAGCTTTACCTTGGGGACAGAGATATCGGGATAGCTGGCGGGAAAGTGCGAGTGCAGATCGGACACCGTCACGACATTACGAAAACCGTAATGCTCCATCACGTCCTGTTACCGTTGTCGCCACGTGACATGGCAATTAACAAAGCAAGAAAGTCCATACCCGGGTCTTGTCGCATGACTTGCCCACGGCAAGCACCATGTCGTTTTCGTACGTAGACACGAGTTCTCGCATGGGTGTGTGCGACAGGCAAAGCTGCGTCGGTGGGATGTCAAACTTTAAGATATCCGAGAGCTGCTCGGCCTTCTTTTCTTCTGTGGTGCCACCTCCATTCGTCATGATGGCGTACGGCGTCTTTGTGTCATGGAGGTGTTGCAGAACTTGATTCGCACCAGGAATTGGCAGTTTGCCACGCAGAAGCACGCCATCTACGTCGAACACAACGCCAAACTTCTTCTTGAGTGCCTTCGCCATAGCATGTCGTCGCATCATTTCCCTTCGTTTCGATCTTCGCCATTGAGTCGACGACGGATAAAACTATCACGATTATCCGGATGAAACTGCCACCAGGGCAGTGCGACAATGGCGGCAGAGGTCGGTCAAGGTCTGAGCCACAATCCTTCGAGGAGCGTCGCAGGGGGACAGCCCTGCAAACGTTGCATGCGTTAATTGCCCCATAGGTTGACCAAATGTGTGGGAGCTGTACAAGCGCCACCAGCACGTCACGGCGGTGTCCACAGTCTGTTCCAGGCCCACATGCATTGTGGCTCCAACACGCAGACAGGTTCGAGCAAACAGAAGTTTTTGCGTTATGCGGTGTCCACCCCATGGAGGGATCGTATACCCCTCCGTGGGTATATCACGCGCGCAATGTCCTCGATTTGTTCGCTCGAGTTCGTACATATGTGGCTCACAGACGCGAGGACGCAAGCAGGCAGATTCGGTCCACGCGAGTCAACCTTCCTTGGCCGACGCGAGGGGCGCTGGCGACCACTCGTTGGTGGCTTTGTATAGTCCCGTGCTTACACCGCATCCATCCTCTCTATTCGAGTTCTCCTCAATTTCCGCCCGAGGTTCGTAACCCATCGGCATGCTTTGTCGTAAATTTGAATCCGCAGCTCCAGTGAACATGTGTCGCATGCACATGTCCCTGGCGAGCATACTAATGCCAAGTGACAGGAAGCTAGCCACGGCGTCTTGGAGTGAGCGAGTCATGGGCTGAGACGGCCATGGCTGCCGGCGGTCCAATTTGCCAGCGACAGGACCGACGACCGTGACATCCGTCTTGCCGTTCCATAGACTGGTTGAGCGGGTTGTGTGAGAAGAGGTCGCTTGGGGCACTAGTGAGGCGAGCCGCACCGTCCGATAGAGCGGCTTCTCAGCATGTGGCGTGGCTCTGCGACTGTCAACAGATCATATCGGTGGCGTATGTGTCCATCGAGTGACGGGAGTTGCGCTGGCAGGGGGGGTTCTGCTTGGTGGCAGCCATGACCATGTGTTTTGCCCCATCAAGTCCTGTGGTACACGTGATGCTTCGACGTCGTGGCGAGTGCTCGAAATGTTAACGCATGCACATCTTGGTCGCTAGCGACTGCTGGACTGGAGCTCGTCAGCTCTATGGGTGCGGCTCGCGTGTGGCCTTTCGCAGGAAAGGGCGCGGGGACCAAGGGGGGTCTATCCCCCAACCTCTGCCTTGGTCCCGGCACACACCCTTGATTGATTGGGAGTTGGCTTCGTGAAATAGCCGTGGTCAGTTGGGTCGTCTGACCACATCGGTGCGGCGCATTCGCCGACGGACCCGCGAACGATCTCATGGCGTGTCTTCCGCCGGCAATCCACGACAGCTCGTGAAGCATTCGCGGCCGCCACAGCTGCTTCATCCAACGTCCCATCGTATTCAAAGGTAGTCGCGCTAGCTCTACTCATCTCGGTGCCTATCGCGGTCTTCACGTTGGTTGTGGATCGTGTTGGTCAAGTGAACTCTTGCGCTCCGATTCTGAGAGAAGCCGTGCCATTCACTTGAATTTTGTATAGTACGCGGTCAATCCTGGCACTACGTTTACGCCAACGGTGTAATGGTCATCCGGATAATCCAACGTAGAGAAGCGACAGCGTCAAGCTCGCACGGAGGCGACTCTACCGCCAAGACCTCCACCACGCCTCTCCCTGGACGACTCGTCGGGTATCCCCGATCGGCCATGTTCATCACGAGGGGGTTGGCGATCTGATCTCCAAGATGGCACGACGGCGCATCTTATTTTCGGTCGTCGCGAAAAGAGGGGGCCAATCGCCAGGTTGGAGGTTGGTTTAAACTATTATGTGGAAGTTTGTATATATTTTAAAATATAATGGCCGAAGAATGCTACATTTCCGACTGCCAGCTGGCATCTGTCATTTTCCATTTGGCTCGACAACCCGCACGAGGAAGCGACCCCCGTACAGTACAGCATCTGTTGTGTGACGTGGATCTCGGCCATGATGAACCGCAACGACTACACGTACTCGCCGCCGCAAATGATGCACCACCACCAACAGCAACAGCGCTCCATGTACATGGACAAAGGATCGCACAATGGGGCGGGCGGCGACTTTCACATGATGCCGCCCCACCACACCACGTCGCACCACTCGACGTCGCACCACAGCGCGTTGACGTCGCACCATCCATCGACGTCCCATCACACGTCCCATCACTCGTCGTCACACCACGGCCACCATGGAGGTGGCATGAACCACCACGGCGACTTTGATCACGAGCCGCTCGTCTTGAACAACGGCCCGCCCCACCACAACTTTTACCAACACATGAATCAACCGATGCTCCACGTGTCGACGGACTTTTCCAACGTTCAAGGTATGTCGTCGATGCACAACGGAAGCGACGATATGGACGACAACAAGAGCATGAACGGACAGAAACGGTCGCGCGAGGAGTTGAACCAAAAGGAGAAGAAGCGCATGTTCAAGCTCAACGAAACCATCCACACACTGAAGAAATCGTTGGATGACGCTGGAGTGAGCTGCAAGAAGAACAAGCAATCGATCTTGGACAATACGGCCCACTATATCTCTATGCTTCGCAACGATTTGATCATTGCCAAGCAAAAGGCCGAACATGCCGAGCGAATGTTGCATTCGAGTGGCGGGAGCCAAAGCAAGGGCTACGCGCCTTTTGAACGCTACTTCGAATTCTCGAGCACGCCGACGTTGATCATGTCGATGGACATTCAAGTTATCCGTGCGAACAAGGCTTTCCGCGAAGTCACTGGGTACAACGAAGACGCGTTGAAGAACAAGGACACGCTGCTCTCGTGCTTAAGTGCCGACATTAGCCGCGCTCGAACGCTGGTGCACAACGCGATTGACTCGCGCAAGACGTTGCGTACCGTCGTGCAGAACGCGATCTCGAACGGTCGAGTGACGAGCAGCTTGTCGTTGACCCTTCTCTTCGACCCGCAAGGCAACCCGGAATGCCTCGAGTGCGTGTTGGTTCCGCTGGAGGAGGAGCAGCAGCAATACGACATGCTGAAGGAGGACGTGACGCTGGACGAAGTCAGCAACCTCGTATGAAGAGCATCCCCACCCCAATAGAACACCAGGCGTAGAGTTTTGATATTGCTATACAATATACACCAGTACAATAGTATCCCTCTTCGACGTCCTCGTTGCATGAGCGTCACGGACGCCGATGGACCGGCAGCCACCGCGCCGTCCCGCGAATTCACCGAAGTTTGAAATCCTGTGGTTCAAATGGACCAATCACATTCGATGAAACGAAAATTGGAAAAACGCGAGTTGTTTAAACTCGAGTGATATGTGAGGTGCGCATGCCGCGTCCAAACCCAGCGCCACAAACGGTTGTCGTTGTCCCACCTGTTCCCCTCATGTCGCAATGGAACTTGAAGTCATCGCGAGCTACAGAGAGCATGCAAGATTCGCCGCCACTCCAGCGAGCAATGGACGTACCTACACGAATTTAATTGTCTCTGTGTGATGAGCTTTAGTGAAGATTGTAAAAAATCCTGCCTTCGGGTGGAATCTACGTGATTACTAAAAAGCCACGGTGCATGGCTGATGCCATGGCGTTGGTTTGGACCTGTACCATGGCGAATCCCGTGTGTGGCGAATAGGTCGTGCCATGGAGAAGTGTTGAGATGGAGATGGTTGTGTGTTTACCCATCAAGTGCAAGGTGAGCATCTACCAAGACATTTTAACATAATTCGACGCGTTAAAGAGTTTTAGGTCAAAACTCTATAAATATCCAGCGGAGGAACACATCCCCATCGCACGACGTGGAGAAGTGATCGATGCCGCTGAGCCCGCGGTCGCCAATCTTCAAGTTCCACAGGCCCACCGGGAACACCACTGCGTCAGGCGTCTACGTTAGCCCATATTTATCGTGTAAAGACTGCAATGCGCTCAACTTCATCAACGCTACGCCCATCGGGATGGGATTTGACTTGGTGGCGAAGGGGAAGCCACCTGTCGCTTCTGGCAAGTATATTCTCGATATTCGCCAGAGGTTGGCAAGTCTACGACGAGAAGTTCTTCCCGTGTGTGTCGGGTGTGGTCGAACGATCCATCTCGCTGTTGGTGTTCGCGACTTCACGCCTCAGCTGGCGGAAGAGGCTGCGGCGTTCCAACGGTCTGGCGACACGCGGTACCACGCCGCTGTGCAGCTTCAGGTGTGACGTATTGACATAACGCATCGTGGTGTGTTCATGTTGTACGCGCGGTAGTGTGCGGGGCGGCGCTGGTTGGCACGGAGCGAAGCCCATCGCCGCCGTGTGGAGAAAGCAAAACGAGATGCAGTCGAGCGAAGGGCAGCCGTCACTGTTCAGCGCCGAATGCGAGGAGTCATCTCGCGGCAGACGACACGAATTCAATCGGGCATTTGCATCATTCAATGGGCGCATCCGATGATGAAATCGATCGTGCTGGACGAAAGCAAATGGGACTCGTCCCGACCTCCGCTCTTTTGGTTCGAAGGTGACGACCTCACGTTGATTTGTACCGATTATCGCAACTACCTCGATCGATGCGGCCCCCTCATGACGTACTGCATCCAGCGCGATCGCCGTGGCATTCTCATGCCGTGGTAGACTTCGTCGATTTGAATCGAACGTAGTCCAGTTTGTCCACCGCATCAACGAAATGGAGCGGAAGATGGCGACGCGGATTCAAGCGCAGTGGAGGTGTCCGCCTTCTCTGGCCACTTCGGACTCTGACCATGCCACACCTACGTAGAGGTCTCAAAGCTCGGCGTGAAGTTGCGACTCTCAAAAGTGCGATGGCTGTCCTCGAAGAAGTCAGGTTCAAGGCTGCCGTACTCATACAACGCACGGTGCGGAGGTACGCTGGAGGCAAACACACTCGCCGCCACAGCTTCCAGCGCCGCCAGGAGAAGATTCGGCAACGAGCCAAGCTGGACAACCTCAAGCGACGTCGCGCGAATGGGTTACGACGGGACGTCGATCAAGTTAACGCCATGTACCAAACTTACCGCCGAAACGCCGACCGTGTGGCTGCTTGGGTGGTAAAGTCCAATCTCTGCCGTCGAAGGGTACCCTTGTCAGCGAAGTCACAAATATGCTCAGGTCCCAAGCAATGCTGCATGCAATCCCATCGATGCACAGAGAAAAACGCAGGCATTTGCAGCGTTCGCGAGCGCGTATGGATCGTCGGCATCCCGTGCGACACTGCGGCATCGGACAAAACACAAGGAGGCATTACGACAAATTCACGCATTCGTCTCCAAGAGCTGCATCGGTCTTTCATAGAGTCCCCCACAACCGCCACCAGCGACTCTGTCACACGCCCACATCCACGCGGCGGTGGCGCAGCCTTCTCCTCCTCGAATCTTGTGCCGTCGTTCCACCGCGGCGCTTGCGTCATGCTCAGTAGAAGCAGAATGCATGTCCCTCTGTAGAGTGCATGCGCCTTGGGGGTGCCAGGGTGTTGGTGTAATTGCACAAGTTTTCAAATCACTATGGAATAATGTATTGAAGCCACCTATTTTTAATATATACCTTCGAATTGTTGTTCGATTTGGCCGCGGAGAAGCGGATTTTCGGTCCGTCGGCGAGGACACATCGAGATGCGCTCGCTACTTCTGGGTGTTGCGGTCCTTGTGGGGCAGCTCTTCGGTACAGACGGTGTCCTTACAGCAGATGACATTGTCTTGTCCTGCACTCCTCTCGCGAAAACTCCTGTGACGCTTCCCTCCGTTGGGTACTGCGGCATCGACATGCTCTTGGGCATGGAGATCAAAGTGGCGCTTGACATCACGTCCATCGACAACGTTGACACCAAGTGTACTCTGAACAATATCCCGCTCACGAATGTGTCGCTGGTGCAGAAAGACTCGAAATGGAAGGTGCGCTTGGGGTACACAATTCAACTGAGCGATCCAGACTCGGACGCAGGCGTGACCGAAGTCAAATGCACTGTCGCCCGCACGAACGAGACGCTTACGTCTCTCGTGGAGACGCTGCCCATCACCATCTACGCTTATCTTCCCGAAATCGACTCGTTCGAGATTGTTCCACCAGTCTCGAATCCCGCGTTGTCAACACGCTCTCCGTCCAAGAATAAAACCAACTTGAATCCTTCCATCGTTGCGCTTGGCATCGGGACCACTGTCGACTTTACAGTGAGCGTCAAATCCAAGCACGATGTGTCGGGGTCATGCCTGTTGCAGCCTCAGAATCAAGTGGTCTCCATCGCGTCATCCAGGGGACAGTATGTCGTGCGCGCCGGCGACCCGTACATCGGTGTCGACTCCATGACGTACTCGTGCAACTTGACGGACGTTGCAGGCAACGCCGCCCATTCTGAAGGCAAGGTCATGTCTCGTTCGGTCGTCCTGGACGGCACCCTTCCCGTCCTTGATAGCGTTTTCATGGTGTTTTCGTCGGAGACCCCTGCCAAAATCGGTAGCATGGTCACGCTGACATTGAAAGCGCAGAACGCGACGTCCGGGTACACTGGAAATTGCTCCGTCAACGGAGTTGGTACGTATCACGACCAAGGGGCTCGAAGGCGAGACTGAACCTGTCACGCCTAGGGCCCCTCGAGCTTGTGGAACAAGCAGACGACAAGAAAGGTTTGTACCTGGTCCAGTATCATGTCGGGTCTGGCGACCACGATGTTGGCGTGAATCAGACGCTCCCTGTCGAGTGCAAGCTCGCCAACGTGGCCAAGAACTCGTACTATTACACAACAGCCCTGTCGTTGAACTTTGCCATCGACGCCAACCGGCCGCAGATCGTGAGCACGAAGCTTCTCTTCTCGTCGGACGATCCTGCGCAGGAGGAGAGTGTGATTGAGATTCAAATCGTGTCGTCGCACGAACCAAAGCCCCTCGTCGTGCACAAGGAATCCTGTTCGATCAACAACGTGTCGGTGGTACGTGTTTTTCACAGCTTTTGTGGTGGCGCGGACTGTACATAGCGTTGGAATAGGCGCGGAGCTTTACTCGATCGAGCGCTGACACGTACCTCCTCACGTACGTCGTGGGCAAAGGCCAAGCGATGTGGAAGCCTGGGAAGCTCCCGATCTACTGCGTTTTGCAAGACCAAGGCGGCAACACTGTGGTTTGTGCGCGTCGATTGACTGTCTTACGTTGATGCAAAAGGCGGTGTGTAGGTGGTGAACCAGTTCACCGACGACAACACTCTGTTTGCCCGTGAAATGAAGCCGCACGAGTTTGACCCGACCAAAGATTTCGGAGCGTACTTGCCCGACAAGATGGTGCTGCTGTCGTTCTTGATCGTGGCAGTGGCGTCCCATACGATCAGCAACTTTTGCCCGTTCGTGGGACTGCCACGGATCACGGGGTATTTGGCCACGGGGATCATCGCAGGTCCGTTTGTGCTCAAGCTGATCACCACGGACGAGATCGGCCAGATGCGGTGTGTTGTATCGTATGATTTCATTCTTGTGCTCACGGTGTAAAAACGTGGATAGTTTTGTGGATGAATTGGCGCTGGCGTACATTGGGCTGGCCGCCGGCGCCAAGCTGCATTGGGTGGAAATGCGTCGAAAGATCAAGAGCATCTTGTCAGTCACGCTGTGGCTGACTCTGTTTGAATACGTCATTGGGACGCTCACGATCATCGTGCTGGCCAACTACCTCGTCTTTCTTCAAGCCACGACCACGATGGAGTGTTATGCGATTGCGATGTTGGCAGGGTGCATGATGATCGCGCGGTCGCCGTCGTCGGCCCTCGCCGTCATCGAAGAAACGGGATCGCAGGGCCATTTTACGACCTTCATCTTTAGCGTGACGGTGCTGTGCGACATTGTTGTCATTGTTCTCTTCAACATCAACAGCATGATCACGGAGGCGTTTTTGAGTGACAAGAGCATCAGTTTCCAGAGCGTGATGGAGCTTGTGGCGCAGATGGTCATCTCCGTCGCTGTCGGCATTTTGTCGGGCAAGTTCATGTCGTATGTGATTCTGTGGCGCACGCCGCGTATCAGTCGCCGCAGCCGGATGCACAAGTTGCTCCAGTTCTCCAAGCAACTCGTGATCCTCATGTTTGGCTTCAGCTTGTTTGTACTTGGGCATTTGTGCCACCCCTGGCTGGAATCGCTCATGTGCTGCATGGTGGCCGGGGCGACGCTGTACAACTGGAACCACGGATCGAACCGTGAAGAACTGAATCTCCTGTTGAAATCGATGGCCGACTTTGTCTACGTCGGGTTCTTCACCCTCACGGGTGCATCCCTCGAACTCGACATCCTCCTCAAGGCAATGGCGGTGTCCGTTCTGCTCTGTCTGACGCGCGTGTTTGCCATCTTCCTCGGCAGCTACATTGGTGGCGCCCTCGCCCATGAAAACTCCATGCACAACCGGGTGTCGTGGATGGCGTACATCACGCAGGCCGGGGTGACGCTGGGGTTGGCCAAGAAGATCCAGCTGCTGTATCCCGGATGGGGCAGCTACTTAGCGACGATGATTGTGTCGGTGGTTATTTGCAATCAACTCATCGGCCCGCCACTGCTCCGCATGGTGCTGCGGTATGTCGGCGACTGCCGCGAAAAGGAGAACGGCAAAGTGGATGGTCTCCGCGCGCTCATCTTGGGCGACGACGAACGGCTGGTCGTGGTCAACTCTGCAAAGCGCCGTATGAAGAACTGCGGGTGGGAACCGTTCAGTTTCTGCATGAACATGAAGGACGTGCAGGATCCCATCGAGATGAACGTGCAGATCCGAGAAGCCATGAAGGAGCACGAACCGTTGGACGTGGTTGTCGTCATGATGAGCTCGGACGTGTTCAACTACCGCGTGATTCGGAACGTGGCGCAGATTTGCACCAAGCTCAAGCGAGTCAAGATTCTCCGCATCGTCGTCAACGTCGTCGGGGACGCCGCGTCCAGCGAAGACGAAGATTGGGCATCGCGATTTGCCAACATGCCGTTCAACGAAGAAAACGGCGATGCGATCGATGTCGTTGTGGTCGATCGAAACGAAGCGACCGACATGTTGATCGAGTTGGCCGCGTGCGGCAAGCTCATCAACCAGAAGGAGGTGCTGTCCCCGCGGGCCGACGACACAGACATGACAGAGGAAACGAGCGTGATCAAAGTCAGTTTGTCGAGCAAGATGCGGCAGATGCTGTGGGTGTAGCACGAATCAAGTCGCGCCTCCGAAGCATTTATAATGTATACGAAGCTGGATGAGTATGAATGGGCGGATGTGAGCGAAGGACTTGCATATGGTGCTGGTTTACAGGCAGGGGGAGGTGGTCTAGGCTAGATGGAGGGGGTTCGATGTCGCCGAAGTCATCGTCTACGTTTTCCAGACCAAGACGGATACGCCGGATGCGACGCTGAAGTACACGTATGTCTTGATCTCGTGCGTCACGTAAGCCCCAAAGGAGAGCCCGACGACACAATTCCATCCACGGCCGTATTCTTTCTCCATGTTCCTGCGAACAAACTCGGCAATTGTTGAAAACGTCTTGCCAGACTACATCGACGGCCCCATGTGAGAAAGAATGCAATTCGAGACGAACATACCGCCACTTGGAGCTGGAACGCATCCTTGGCCGTCGCCACAACCTTTTCCAGCATGACGTCGGTCATGTCTTCCGCGAAGACGACGGTCTTGTAGAACTTGTCGTTGGACTTGGCCATCGTTCCACGCCGCGGCCGATGGTGTTTGCAGAAACGTCCCTTCGTGAAAAAGATTGCAAGGTGTGGAGAACGTCCATTGGTCACTTATTAGCCAATGAAATCGATTTGTCGCGATTTTCCAGTGAGGAGTCCTCAAATTCCACCAATCCTTCCTGAGAGAAATAAAGGAATGCACCAATCAAAGGAAAGGTCTGCACGGGAAATTGTTTCTATTAGTTCGGCCTGAGAATCATGCGGACGTCTACTTGGTTCGCGTGATGACGAGCTGTGCCAGCTTCACCAGCGCATCACGAGCGGGCGACGGAGAAAACTGATGCGCCGCTTGACATGCCAATTCCGCCTGTGCGATCGCCAAGTCCTTGGACTTTTGCAGTCCAACGCTCTTCTCGACAAGGTCAGCGGCTAGTTCAATGTCTCCTTCCGACGAAAACTTTCGTGCCACGAGTTCCTTCAAGACGGGAAACTCTTCTTGGGCCAAAAGGACGGGGGCAGTTGCCAAGCCCTAAAGCGTCATTGCTGTGAGATCCTTGGGAGCGTGACCTGCAGTGTACCGCTTTGAGATCGGCCAGCATAGGTTTGCCAGTGTTCTGGCCACTGTAATCCAGCACGTCATCAATGAGCTGAAAGGCGAGCCCGAGGTGCCGACCATACGCAAATCCGAGTTCGCACACACGGTCGGTATGGTCTCCCAGCACGAGCGACGCCTTGCAACTATTGGCCATGAGCGAGCCGGTTTTGTAGTAGTTCTTCCGCAGGTAGTATTCAAACGGCGAGATGGCGCCGCTCTTGTCAGCATGACGCATCTGCATGACTTCTCCTTTGACCAAGTGCTCGATCGCAGTCGACATGAGTTCCACGGCCTACGCAAGTTGTCCATGAGAGGACATTGAAGGGACTCTGTGAGAGACCGACCTCCAAACTGCGAAGTCGAGCGAGGCAGATCGACGACCGAGCGAGCAAAAAGTCGCCTACGAATACCACGCGGAGCCATCAACACCACAAATGTGGACCTCCAAAGGACTGCCGTACCGGCCAGAATCGAAAGCTTGGACCCAAACACCTTGTTGACAGACTGCATGCCACGTCGGGTATCGGCTTCGTCGATCACGTCGTCGTGCAGCAAACTCGCCGTGTGGATCATTTCGCTGCATCACATGACAACTCATGAGATCACCAAGAGTTGGAGACCATGGTCGCCTACGTAATTTCCGCCAAGCGCTGCTGCGACGCTGCAATGTACTCGGCTGACTTGGGAAATGTCGACTGACCAGCAAGACGGTCAGCCTCCGCTGCCTGGGACAGCAACAGGATCATGGTCGGCCGGATCTTCTTGCCACCGTCGTTCTCGAAGAAGTACCTACACCAAGTCAGCGTTTGAAGCATGCACATAGCACGACACGCACTTGGCTACGGCTTCCAAGACGGGGTGGTCCGATCCCAAGATCATCTTGATGTTGGCCGATACAGACACGATGCTATCCTTGACTAATGCGAACGGGTCCACGTTCATGGGTTGCCGAATGTGTTGAGTTGAATGGGATCCGTTGATGGGTCTACCCATCATGCTGTCAGAATCACGCCATCGCACTGCAAGACTACTTACAAGTCAAAGTTGTCGACGAGGTTGAACGAGCGCTCTCGCATGGCGGCAGTAAACCCTGGTGAAGGGTCCAGAATGGACAAAGTCGGCTCGTCCTAGAGACATCGCGCTAGAGCTGTCGATTCCTAGCGCGGTCAATTTCTTACCACGGCACCAGCACTGAGCCACAGATTCGTGTTGCCTTCAATATCGACACTCTGTTGCAACGACCCTACCACGCGCTTCATGGCAGTGGTTTGGAGGCTGCTGAAGTTGCGGATGGATGACCCTACATGCGCACCGCTGAAGCTGCAAACAGGCCGCAGGACGCCATACCGGAACGAAGGAACCGCTGCATGATGCAAGTGGTCGACGGCGCGGCGGAAGGAATGAACGGCACCGAAGGCGTGGTGCGTCGGCAAGCGATTATTGTCGGTTATTGGTCACGATGAGTTTTTTCGGCCGTTCGAAGTTCGGTACCCATTGATTTCACAAAAATCGTTAAAAATTCACCCGAAACTCGAAAAATCAGCGAGATAGGTCAACGAAGTGGGTGCGCCATGAAGGCAATGCCTTGCACTGATCCAGGCGTCCACGAGCTGAAGGTCGGCATAACGTTACTTGCCATCTCCCATAACAAGCACTCACGAAACCTTGTTTGGCATAGCCGCGATTCCTGTAGGCCAATCTTCGAACGGCCACGAAATCACTGGCGGCAATTGTCGTCGCAACGAAAGGGCAAATTGAAGACGGGAGGCTGGTGTGTCCGGATAAATAAGCCAATCACCACCAAGCATCCGAATAACTCGTGTGGGGTGGGTTGATCAGGACATGCCGGCGGCGCGGATGGACATCTTGTGGCCGGAGAAGTCGGACGTGTCGTTCGATGTGGGCAAGCAAAGCTATGTCATCGGATGGCGCGTTAAAGATTGCCTTATTTGTGTCGCGACTGTGCTCCCCATGGCCGAATGTGGTGCCAGCAAGCTTGAACGTAGGAGTGCCATATGCGTTGACGAAGGTAGAGTGACGTGGATGCCGTAGAGGAAGTGGCAAGCCTGTCGAAGCGCTTCGGTTCAAGATCAAACGAGAACTCATCGCCTCTGACTGTCCTGGGCACGATCTCACCTCCTCAAGTGCATGCCAACACGCCTGCATACAATGGGCGACCGTTCTGGGTCGACATGGCCTGGAACAGTGATCATCTTCGCCCAGTAGTTCGTCAAATTCGAAAGCACGGGAATCCCTGTACCGTTGCAATGTGCCACATAGTCCTGTACGACGCCACGTTCTCAAGACTCCAGCGATATCGTCACTTGACCATTCGAAAGCGAAAGCGTTCCGGTGCGTCCGACACCAACGAAGCCATGAGCCCCACGCCCCTCCAGACAGCCATTTTCCACGTACGAAACATATCGCTCTTGTTAGTCTGAACCTGTCGATCATAACAGCTCAACCATTCCTCGGACATCGAGCAGTGCCTTCTCGGCAACAGTCGGCGAGACCCACCATCATGTGCTGTGCCACGAACGGCGGGTGCCAATGGAACTGACTCTTGATGGTAGTTTTGTCCAAGCTTCAATCCATGCTGTGCTGGCCATTCGTATTGATGTTCATGCTGTGTCGACCCGCTTGCCACTTCTTCATGTGCCTTCTAAGTGTCCGCTTTCCATCGCGCATGCCGTTGTATGGCGGCCATCATGTCAAGGTTAGTACTTCAATTCCACTCCTCATGGCATTTCGATCACGAATTCTCGTGACCTCAGTCGTTGTCGCTCTTTCTCCGACTCCTGAACCGACGGGTTGCCATGGTCGCCACCATCGCTGAGCAATACGTCAAGTTCAATCGCGAATACTATTCCGACACACCGTTCCACGTCCTTGGTACCCATCCGTCACGCGGCGCTTCTTCTGACAACGACGCAGAGAGTGGATATGCCGAGTACATGAGTGACCTGGCGTTCTTCGTCCTCGATCTAGTCGGAGGGTACTTGTATCGCTCCGTCGTGCCCACAGGCATCGTCTACTTTCAGCAGTACGTTCGATGATGAGCCGTTCAATATTGTATTCACACCGGGGCCTTCGATTAGATCTAGCCATTCCCACTTCCGCACGCTCAAAGCACAGGTCACGTGGCTCGTGGATGCTCCGGCTGGGTTCAAGGTGCGTTTTCGTCTCGAAACCGCTTGCATGTTGAATGTACCAACGGGGAATGGCGCAGATCAACGTGGCTTTGGCGTCCAGCTTGGTCAAAGGCATCCACTTGATGGTGGACGTGGCGCAGTATGCGATTGACGGCCTTTCTCCGTATGTGGGCACCATGCTCTGGGTAAATCTGCGGCGCTCCTCTCCATCGTGCATCACACCTTTCGTCCGCAGGTTGCGAGTGCGGCAAGTGTGCTCGGGCTATCGGTCCAGCTTGGATTGCTCTACGACTTTGTCGAGTTTGGCACGATGCAAACGTACTACTTGTACTTGTACTTTTCCAAGCTCCACCGCGTCCAGGTAATGCACATCCACGTCGTCGTTCGAATAACATGCTGTGCATAGTTTGACTTGCTCTCGTCGCTATGGAGGCTCTTCCTCGGCAAAAAGAAGAACCTCCTTCGGAACCGCGTCGACTCGTGCGAGTATGACGTCACGCAGGTCTGTCACCGTCGCTCGCGCCGTCCTGACCCGTCGGTCCGTCTAGATGTTGGTTGGCACGTTGCTCTTTACGATTTTGTTTTTCGTCGTCGCCACCAACTCGGTGTTTTACTTGTACTTTTGCCTCGTCCGGTGCGTGGTGCTCGCGATTCAGGTACTCGACGGCATCGGTACCAACGTATACCTCATGCGGTCGGTTCGAATAGACCACGCTGTGGTGTGCAATTGTGTTTTCCCAAACCATCCCGCTGTACTCGGTGGCGCTGTGGCTCCAAGACAAGTTTCAGTTCCCGGCCGACGTGTACGTGCGCCCGGTTCGTCTTGCCGACGCGCTCTCGATTGCATTTCCCAATGTGCACAAGTCCAATTGCTTCGTCGACGACGACTTCGCTCCCACCGAACCTGCCTCTTTCAACTATGGGGCGACCATCCCGACGGCGTATTTTACAATGCATCCCGTCGCGCAGTCGTTTGGGTCCCTCTTTACAAGGTACCTCGAGATGCGCCGACGGCCTGTTGTGATCGCGTGGCTGTGTTCAGAGTCTCCGAGTACTCGGGCGCGTTGGCCGAGCACTACACGGTGGGCAAGTTCCTGCGATGCTTCCTCTTGGGGGAGTACATTCCCGCGCTTGCATTCGACGACACGCCCATGCGAATGGACGAGTCGACTTCCATGTCGTCCCTGACGACTGCCCAGCTCTACGAAGCCCTGCGCGCGTGTCGCTGGGAGTAGCAGTTGGCCCATTTTCGTGATCCCCATGGAACCTCCATAGAAATCGTTGTGAATACATGTCTCGCGTGATGCCCGGCACGAGCGAACTAGTCGAGATCAGTTGGAGATGGGAGCACATCACCAACGCCGCAACACCATCTCCATGAGCAGCACGGCGACCTGCACCTGTCCAGTGCACTCGACAGAGCGGAAGCGCGAGAAGGCGCTGTGACTCGACTTGAGTGCAAGGGATTGTTCCAAGCTCGCGACGACTCGACCTTTCGGACACCAAACTCGACGTCCATCGCATGCGGGTGAAAGTATCGAGCCTTGTGGACGGATGGTGACTGGCGCGCCAGTTTCTCCAACACGCGGACGATTGACGTGCCCCATTCTCCCCTATAGTTGCTCGATCTTAGCGCAAAGCCAATTGTCGATTCCTCCTCGCACGCATCACGTGTGGACGTCGCGTTGTTGTTTGCTGGGGGCTCCTCTGTCGTTGTGGCAGTCCCGGCGATAACTACAGCAGCGCTTTGTTCAAAACAGACTGCCGTCTCTGATATGCCTGGGGCCGCGTGTTTGGACATAGGCTAACGAAGGCATGGGCGACTCGATTCCATCGATGGATGCCCGCACATGTGTCATGGAGGGACTGGTACCGTTCTTCTCTGCCATTCCTGTTCGCATGGCGTGAAGCTGTTCGTTCCCTGCGTGATAAGTACGACGGCATTGTCCATCGGCCCAAGCTCCCTTGCACACTCACATCTCTATCCAGTTCTACTCATTCGCCGCAAACGACACGTCGTCGATCCCAACAGTTCTCGACTATCATCGTCTCGGTCCATTCTTCAAGAGTCAAGAACAGTGTGCAGGTTTGAGTGCCGTGCTCGCAAGCAGGTTGACGTTTGTCCTGTTCGCCCTCGACAGCATCTCGCGCGAAATGGTTTGGGCTTGGGCTCCAAGGCCCTCGCCGCACGCGTCGTTGGTCATGGAGTCCATTCAGCGCACGTTCCACCATCCCCAACAGTGTGCACGTCCACCGACTTGGAGTTCGCAGCATGAACTCGATCCTCCCAACGCCAAAGCTTAGACACTAGTTACGATCCCTGCATTGCCGGCCACCGTGGCTGGCGTGTGCTTGGCGCGCGTCGTTGAAATGGCGCCGTTGGAGAATCCCGCGCGACTCTCACCACAGACTCAGGGTTCAACTTTTTGTATGTGCAATTGACGTCGAGTCTGATGTACGAGTGGTGCCAGATCGTGTCCAAGCTCGCCTGACACAATCATTTGCACTCTAGACGAGTCACAGAGTCTCCTCGCGCTTCCGCTCTTTCGGATACACTTGACAGCCGCAGCGGGTCCAGGTCGCCGTGCTGCATGTAGCTGCCAGTGGAGGTTGTATGTACCTCGTGCTGTTGATTCGCATCACCTCCACGGTGGGTTGACATTTCTCGACGATATCGTTTGCTTGTCGGATCTCGATCGTCGAGGAAACCTGTCAATGAGATCAGAGCCCCCCAGATCCGACCTGATGTGAAGCCCAAAGCTCCGCAGAGACTCCTTGCCACTTCGCGGTGACGCCGGCCCAGTGTTCTCTCCTCCAAGGCTTGAACGAGAGCATCCGATTGGTATCCGGATATCTACTTGTGCCAAAATGTTGCGCTCGGCGACGCGCCATGGAAGGTGGCGCCGCTGGTTTGGGTCGATGGGTGATCGCGGAAGGCTTTCACTATTTATGGACCAGCAAAGGGTACTGAATGAACACGGCATTGGCGCGTCGAAGAAGGTCGTGGTCGTTGAAGGGCCCCCAGGCACAGGAAAGAGCGTATGTGCTGCCTCCTTCCTGATCGATGCTGGCAGTTTGTCAATCCCAACACTGGTGTTTGCACCTCCCTCTGAAGCGACCTCTCCATGTATCCCCATGCTGCGTCATCTGCAGGACTACACACAGCTGGGACACGTGGACTCGCTCCCCCACATGAATGTCCAGTCGTTCGCGCAATGGTGTCTGTGGTACAACGATGAATTCGCCATATCCCGGGTACAAATCATTCGCTCACGCTCCACATTTTCATCTTCGTGCAATCATGCAGAAGGTCATGAGTCACACGGAAACGGCGGCATTCTTGTTCCAGCACATCGACTCGATTCCGCATTCGTCGTTGAGGTCGTCCTACAAGTCGCCCATAATGCTGCAACGCGCCGTGAAGGATCTGATGCGACTCTTCGAGCATCTAGAAAGCCATGGCATTTCCCCTGACGAGTACGCATCTTTCGTCGCAGCTCTATCACCCGAGGGGTACAAGATGTCGTTGGCCGTGTTTACAGACTTTGCTGCAAAACAGACCGACTTGTCCACGGCCTACGAAGCGTATCGAAGTCTTCTGGCGCAGCACAACGTAACTACATGGCACGGAACTGTCTTGGATACCCTCGTTCATGTGCAGAACCATCCGTTCTTCCTCCATGCAGCAATCAGCTCGTTCGATCGCATCCTCGTCGATGATCTCCAAACACTGACGCCGGCTATGCTAAAGGTATTCTCTTCCTCTTGTGCCGTCCTCTCATTTTTACATGCCTTAGGTACTCAGTCGCATTGTTGTCACGTTGTCGTCGCAGCATTGCGTCGCATTTACTCGACCAACGGACAACATCGTCAAGCTGCAACAGTACCGACCGCCCGAGAATCGGTCGCTCTTGAAGCAATGACCCAATTTGGTTGATTGGATAGGCTCGTTCAAGGCGCCGCTGATGAATCGTCGATGCCGAGCCTTGCATGGAATCATGTCCAGCTCACGGCCAACTTGTACTCGGCACCGCAGCTCATTCAAGCAGCTGCGGCACTCACCGCGCCCTCCTGTGCCACGTCCCGGCCACTTGATCCAGTGATCGCAACGCATTTGTTTGCGTCCGCTCAAGACGAAGTCGACTTTGTCGCCGATCTCGTTGCACGCGTGGATCTGAAGAAGGTTACGAGTGCCGAACCCGACACAGTTTGAGATGGGCTTCTACGTAGAGCGTGACGGTGATGTGTGCCGATCGACGCGAGGTTCCACTGGTCGTGGCTGCGTTGCAGAAACGTGGGGTCGGGAATGTTCGGTCCCTCGAAAGGCAAAATTTGTTTGATTTTGCAATTGTACAAACAGCGCATGCGCTGCTCCAAGCGGTGGCAAACCCGTTGACCGAGTCCAAGTACTTGTTCAGTCTCCTTCACACGTCGTCTCCCTGGCACGTCGTTCCGTCCAAGCTAGCCGCGGTCATGGAACTCCAGAGGAAGCGGTAGGACATCTCCCTTTGTGGCTGCGACTCGATAGTGCAACTATAGCCACGTACCGCTCTGGGACGTGCTGGTGAAGCTGGCCGAGGGCACCACACCGCTTGCCCAAACCATCACACTGGATGCCGACAGCGTAGCAGCGATAAAGTCGTTCGTGTCGGTATTTTCCCACATGCGGGAGCTGTCGATGACATTGAGCTGCCTCGAGTTGCTGCATGCGTACTTCACCAAGACAGGTAACCGACTCGTTCGTCGTTCCATTCCGATCGCGATTCCCAGGGGAGCTGGAGGGCCTCATGTCACCGACGTCGGAAGCGGATGCTGCGGCATCGCAGGCACTCGCTGCGTACTTTTATACCGTCGGCGAAGCTCAGCATTCAACCAAGTCCGTGCATGTGCCGTTCGTAGCACCGTATTTGCAGCTGCTGAAGGACAGCGGACGCCTCGTCCCTCCAAGCAATCGCGATGACTCCATCGAGACGAGTCGAGTCACGGTGGTATCGATCCAGACTGCTACGAAACGTCATATAGCAGTATGAAGTGCCGTTGTCCATCGTGGACGTATTCCCATGGTGTGTTGGCCTGTGTTAGGCGGACACAATCGTCTTCTCGGGCATGGCAGACAAGGCGTTTCCAGGCCGAAAACCGCGGGAACCGACTGCACTCCCGATGGCGTTGCTAGAGTCGATCGCTCCAACTGGTCGCGCCACGTCCCAAGCAAAGCGACAAGAATTCATCGAGAAATGCAGAGAGACGCTGAGCAACCTGATGCTGTGTGCCAAGTTGAACGTCGTTTTCACTGCGAGCGGGGGCACCCCTAGTCGGTACCCATGCCATGTGAACGTCAACCTGTTTGACTGTGTGGACGCAGGATTTTGGCCCCGCTATGGCAGTCGCCAACTGTACACCATCCACCAGGTCGTCCATCGCTTCCTCGACGCCGCGACGACACCGCGGACCAGGCGAAGGAGCTTCAACTGGAGCATGTTTCGTTTTCGCAGCTGGACGAGTTCATGCGATGCCCCTATCGCTACTACCTCGCCCGGGTCGTCAAGATCGATCAGCCGACTTCTCCAGGTCTGGTGTATGGTCGAAGCCTCCATGAAGGCATTGCTGCGTGGAGCTCGGATCCTTGGGTCCCCGACGCATCCCAGGTACGCAGAAAATGGTAGAATGCACAGCCAGTGATGAGGAGGACTGGATGGATAACAGAATGCCCTGGACGCACTGAATGCATCGTGGGAGTCGGGGTGCTTTCGGTCAAAAGAAGAAGAAGAGATGCTGCTGAACCAAGCCACCGACGCCCTCGCGGCATTCATAGCATTCGAAACAGCGAATCCACCTCGGATCGACGCGGTGGAATCACCGTTTGATATCAACGTGCCTGAGGCAAACATCCGTCTCAAAGGCAACTCGTTCTCTTTGCCTCGTCCTTCGTTGGACGTCATTTTTGCTGTAGGGGTTTGGGATCGCATCGACGTTCGGGCGGATGGCACGTACGTCGTCGAATTCAAGTCCAACATGAGCAACGGACCCCGCAACAACCAAGCGCTTGCCGAATCCAGCCTGCAACTTCAGCTGTACATGCTAGCGTATGCGCATGTTCATGGTGTGCCGCCGAGAGGAGGTGTGCTCCGGTCCATCGAAAGTCCTCACGGACTAAACGATGAAGGAGTCGTTCAGTACGATGCGAAAGCCGACGACCATATCCTTCGAGGTATAGCGGACACCGTGCAGAGGATTCGACGGCGTGAGTTTGATGCCTTGCCATCTTTCATGGGGTGTGCCTTCTGCGCCTTTGCCGACGTCTGCCCGTCCAAATATCGCTGAAATCAAAATCAATAGACGGTGACATCCGGATACCTGTTCGGATACTGTGTTTTGGAATAAACTTCAGTTCGGGAGGCAGGGAGAAACATGGACACCGCCACGGAGGCCGCTCCGGTCGGGACCCTTCCGTTGTCGCCTTCACTCCTTGGATCAGACGCCATCAGCCTGGATTTCCTCGGAAGCTCCCGGAAACGGAAAGCTTCGGATGACCCGCAGTTATTGCCGCCGCAGCCCCTCCTTTCCGCCGAGAACTCGGCGAATGGCACAAGTACCAACAACAACGGCACGCTCACGGCACGCGCAGAACCCGGCAGTTTTCGAATCAAGATACAGCGATCTACTCCTCGGCAAGGTGGCAGCCGACTTCCAAACCCCATGACTGCGTCGTCAAACCTTGCTGGAGGGCTGCAGTTCCCCATGCAGTTCAATCCGATGCCCACCTTTATGCCACAACAATTTCCTTCCGGGATGGCCACAATACCCGCTACTACTTACATGCCGAATCACGTCATGAACCAGATGAACTTCCAGACGCACATGTTGCAGCAACAACAACAGAATGCTGCTGCCTTCCTCTCCACATCATTGGGCCCTCCACCGCCCGGTCCACAATCCCTTCTTCCCCAAAACTCCCTTCTCGGCAACGAAGGCCAAGATTTGGGACCACCTCCTTCCGCTCCGCCACGCATGGCTGTCGAACACTCCCTCATGGGCGGTGGCATTGAAGTGCAGCCTGTTCGAGCTGTGGACACTCGCAACTTTGACTGGAATCGACGGGCAGGAAGTGGAGCTGCAACAACCATCGCCGAAGATGGCGAAGGACTGCAGGGGCAGAACTCTGGCCGCCCGCGCTCGGAGAGTTTGCCCAACATCAGTCTCGGATTCTTGGACGGCCTGACGCTGCAAAGCGAGTCGTCGTTCTTCAAGGAAGTATAACTGTAACAACTAAATGACACCTCATATCGTGCAACTTATTCAATCTTGTGCAGCAGCCACAAGTCGTCGCCGAGAAAGTGCCCGAGCTCAACGGCAATGCCTTTGTTGATGCTTTTGCTACAAGACAAGGAATGATGAGATCAGTTGTGGACTAGAAACAATGCTCGTACATGTTGGCAGTCGACATTTGCATGATGCCCACAGCCATCGCGAGTTCCTTTCCTTCCGCCATGATTGCCACGGGTTCGCCTGCTTCAATTTCCTCGGGAAGATCCCCACCCTTGGACGTCAACCCTGGAGCCATGATGTTTGCTCCGGACAACACGTACGGAATGGCACCTTTGTCGGCGCGAATCACCTTCATCATTGACGGCAATTTGTGCAACAACTTTAGCGTTGGCAAGAAAGGGCCATCTCGCATGTTGAAAAAGAGGGGAGTCCCATCTTCTGCGCACACGAGTTGAAGGTGCTCCGTTCCCGAGCACTTGGCAACCAGGAGCGGCGACTTCTTGGGCAGCAACATTTCCATCAACTCGCCATCGTTCTCATCCAAGAGTGGATATTGTTCACAAATGCGCTGACAGATCTTTCGTTGCACGGACGTCTTCACCTTGCTGATGTTGGACACATGCTCGTCCACAGAGAAGCGCTTGAACATGGTGGCCACGGCAAAGGGAAAGCCGTTTGTCTGGTGCTCGGTCCAAGTGCTGGATAACAACGTCGTATCCGGAAAACAATGGCTACATCCATCATTTATTCCATGAATTTCGAGTACTAGTAAAAAATATTTCCGGGCGAAACTCGAGCTCGACGTGTCCACGACCCGATCTGAACTATTCGTTCACTAGCGGTATTGCTGGCTGTGCAGCAGCCTTTTGTGCTGTCAAACAATGTGGCATCTGTGTGATGGTCACGTGATGTAGACAGCATGCAGCGCTCGACATATTCGTGGCATGTTCAACTCGAACCTGTTATACTGCTCCAACCTGTCAGTGTGGGCGATCCACGGCATGCTTTGACAATGCTACCCATCCAGAACTACTCTTGTTCGAACTTTATTACTCTAGTGGTCTGGCACAAACGGAGCGAATTTTCTGAGCGATTTCTTTGTACATGTCCTTGTATTGAGGCAGGGGCGGGAACCGGTGGCCTTGGCTGTGGGAGTACACGTGGCGAGTGGCTTCGGAAAAGTAGTCGACTTGAGCTTTGCTTTCTTCATACATAAAGTCCTTTTCGCCCATGATGTGGAACGATGGGAATGCTAGCTGAGGTTTCCCAGGGGATGCGGCGGAGTACATGTCGGGCATGCCGTCTTGGGGCCACATGCCACAGACCAACACGATCGCTTTGTAGGGGACCGAATGCTTCTCCATGTAGTGGGCTGTCGCCAAAGTTGCCATCATTGCGCCTTGCGAAAACCCAATGATCACATCAAATGGACCTTGGGTGGCGATTTCACGTTGGAGGTACTCTACCGAACGTTCCCATCCTGGATACGCCTTGTCTGTGTGGCTGTTGGCATCCCACCATTCGAAATACGAATCGTCCTCGCCAAAGAGGTTCAAGATATCTTCCTCAGGTGGACCCGATGCAGGGAAAGGACCGTCCAGCTCGACGAACTCGGCGGCTGGCCCAAACGCCTGCACAAAGCCGGACACTTGAAGCGAGACAACGATGCTGTTGGAGCGACCACCATGACTAAACACAGCAAGGTGAGACGCGTGGAGATCTTTCGTGGAAGGGTACGAACAGACATAGAATTCGAAGCCTTTCCTGACCGATCGACATGGCGGCGGCGAGTTGGCAATTGACCAAGCGTGCCACCAAAATGTGCAAGAGACGCCATGTCGTGTGCATTATCCGGATACGGATAAGACATTTGTCACGACAACACGACAGCAGCACGATGCTTGCGAGCAAGTCAAGGGAGGACGGGAAAGGTTCATGGAGGCTAGATAAACGTCATTTATGAAGACTTCTGAGACATGGAGCAGATCGCGCGTAGCTCTTCCACAATTTCTTTGTACAGTGGGCGGGATGAAGAAGGAAGAGGGAAGCGATGGCCGTCGGCATGGACATGCACACGACGACCCACCGGCACGTACGTTTCCACAAGTTCTTGGCTGAGATCGTAAATGTCGTCCTTTTCGCCCATAATGTGGATGGATGGGATCGTCAAACCGTAATTGGTCGTACCAGGTTCCCGCAATAACTCCGGCGGCATCCCATCTCGCGGACAGACTCCGCATGCGAGCACGATGGCCTTGAACGGAATCCCTTGGTTCTGGACTTGATAATGCGCCGCCAACAACGTCGCGGCGGACGCTCCCTGGGAAAACCCCACCACAACATCGAACGGACCTTGGGTGGCGACGACATTCTGCAGGAAAGGTAACGATTTTTTCCAGCCTGGGTAGCTGATCTTGGTCCGCTCAAACGCTTCCCACCATTCAAAGTACGGCCCTTCTTCGCCGAAAAAGTCGATGATGCTTTGCTGGGGACGCCCAGACGCAGGAAATGGGGCATTGATCGCGACAAAGTCGGCCGAATTGCCAAAGGCATGGCGAAATCCAGCCATTTGCATCGAGATGATGTCCGAGTTGGTCCGACTGCCGTGGCTACGTTGTCCACCATGCACGCGGGTGAGTTCGCAACACGTCAACCTTCTTACCTACAGGCACAGGATGCGCAGCTTCGAGTTCGTCATCTCTTCCCTCAGTCCGACCCCGCAATGAAACAAGAGGTCGATTCAAGCTAATACATACTAACCTTAGTATATGTATATGTGCATACTACTAGTCTTACTTATAGTACAAAGCAATCCCCATCTCAACACACAGTCACATGGATATCCGGATTTCTATCCGGATTTCAATTTGGTGGGAAAGCTCTGATGACTCACAAGTTGGCTTCGAGCTCTGCCTCGGTCGACATTCCTGGACAAATTTCGCATTTCATTGAGGTGGAGTGCACACTTGACGAAGGAAGCGTGCCATGTCGATGTACATGGGCTTATGGATCGGCAGGGCCGGAAAGCGGTGACCGTCGGGATGAACGTGCAGCTTACGATGTGTTGGGGAGTACATACCATGGAGCTGATGACCGAGGAGTAGCATTGGATCTTGTTCGCCGACAATGTGGAGCGAAGGGATGTCCAAGTGGTCAGGCATATCTGCAGGCAGACCGTCTATTGGTACTAAACCACACACAAGGACGACCGCTTTGTACGGAAAGCCCCCCTGTTCCTTTTGGCAATGAGCTGTGAGTAACGTGGTGAGAGCCGCGCCTTGGGAAAACCCCAAGACCACGTCAAATGGTCCAAGTTCATCAATCTGTCGCAGGACAAACGCAACCGACCGCTCCCAACCATGGTACTCTGTTTTCCGTGTCTCGGGATTCTCCACGGCATCCCACCACTCGTAGTACGGACCCTTTTCGCCAAAGAATTTCCGAATGTCCTCGTGCGCAGGCCCTTTCGCGGGATACGGGGCGTTCAGCGAGACGAACTCGGCCTGCGTTGGGCCAAGCGCTTGGCGAAACCCCGCAACTTGGAGGGAGATGACAGCTGTGTTCGTTCGCCAGCCATGCCTAGGCGACGTATCAGCCTGTCACACGTCGACAGGAGCCCACCCTTACAGACAAAGTACGCGCAGCTTTGGGCCTCGGCAGGTCATACTTTGCTCATGGCCGCACCGATGGTATTTATCCGGATACGTATAAGCTTAGCTAAACAGGTCTGGCCAAGCAAACGCGGCTCAAAGTGACTGCGATTTCGTCGTACAATGCGCGGTGGTTCTTGACGCTGGGGAACTTGTGGCCTTCGGCGTGTACGAAAAAGCGCCGCGTTGCTTTGTCAAAGACGTGGACGAGCTCCTTGCCAGTATCAAAAAATGTGTCGGCTTCACCCAGCACAATCATTGCTGGCACCTTGAGTTTAGTTGACGACTCCATCGATGGTGGCATGCCATCCAGTGGCCAACTCACCACCCCCACACACACGATGGCCTTGAAAGGTAGTGGAACTTGCTCAGCTTGATAGTGCGCGGTGAGGAGTGTCGCCATCATGCCGCCTTGTGAAAAACCCAGGATAATATCGTACGGGATGTGGGAGCTCAAGTGGCGCATTAGGTACGCGAGAGAGTGTTCCCACCCCACATATCGGTCACTTCCCCGTTGTCCTGCATGAGGATCATCTCTAAACCACTCAAAGAACGGTTCAGATGACCCGAATTTGTCTTGAATAGCGTCTTCGGTGGGGCCATTGGCAGTGAATGGAGCATTCAGATATTCAAACACTGCCCGCGGTCCAAAGCTTTCGCGGAACCCGCGAACTTGATGGCGCATGACAGTGTCATTCGTGCGAAAGCCATGCCTACAGGCCCCGTCAGCAGACGGGAATCATGCTTCGGAAGCTCACAAGCAAAGGACCCGCAGTTGACTCACGGGCGGCACTACCGTCATCTGTGTTTTGATCTTGACCAGGTTCCGCATAAAATCTATGTTATCCGTATACCACTCTGTGTTCACACGCGTGAAATGTCACACAACAAAAACGACACAATCGATATTACAAGCCACAAAACAAATTCAGGCGATCCACTCTATGCCCAGAGGCAGGTGCATCACAGCATATACCAGTCTTCGTCCTCTGTCAAGCTGAAGTCTGGGCTGCACTTGTCTCCAACGTGTTCAAAGTCCCTTTCTTCAGACGTTGGGTTGAACAATTTGATCTCAAACGTTGTGCCGTCCTGATCACCTTCTTCGAGTTGGCTGACTTCGCCATGGATGTCATGATTCGCGGCAAGATTACCTCGATCAGAGGCATCTGAACTCGTGTCTATCGTAGGCTGCATTTGCTTGACGTGGACAAGAGAGTTCAGAAGTGTTTGTTCAACTTGCTCAAGCATCCTCTTCCACTTGGCGCCATGGATCGCCAACTGATCTTCCATTTGAAGCCTTTGCTGGTTTCCAAACTCGTTCAGCCGCCGCTCGAACATATCCAGTGACACATGCGTTGGAGGCATTTCCATCCACGAAGGTTGAACAGGAGCCTGTGACTGTGGTGGCAGCACTTCCAAGCATAGTAAATCTTCTGTCAGTGATCCTTCTGCATCCCTCGTAGCGTCCATAACGTTGATTTGAACCGCGTCTAGTCGGTCGTGGAGCGTCTGGATGTCTGCTTGAACACGTTTGGACAAGTAGGTCAATTGTCTTTGTAATCTCTGAGTAGATGACTCATTCAAACTCGCAGCAGCTTCCCATGCTGAAGCGTAATAGCCTTGATATGTCTATGTCACCATCAGCTACAGCGAAGATATTCCATCAAGGGCACCTGAATCCAAGGCGACGACGTCTTGCGATGACAGTATTGGCTTGGCGAGTCGCCGTCATTGTTTACAGTGTTCCAATCGTCTAAGAGGGGGTCCGTCAAAGACGTGAAGCTCTTGAAGTAGCTCATTCGGTCTGCCATGGCTCGACAGCGACCGCTTCCAAAGTACAATGGAAGTGCCTCTTGCTGGTTGGAAGGAACTACACTCTGCATTACCTAGCTTTTACTGGCTATTTAAGTGAATTCAATTAGCCAATTCATACGCAGATCTTTGGGGAGACAACAAAGTCACAGCGATCTTAGCGAAGCTTTGAGGGTGCTTTCGGGAGGGGGACGCCTTCGATAGCTCAAAAGAAATGCCTTGAGAAGGGCAAGGCAGAGACAACGGTCCCGATATTCACTTGGCCATTCCAGTCAAGTTATGCGTTGACCTCACGATCAAGGATTGGCTATATTCATAGGATAGTTTCAACCAATTACAATGCTTCAACAGGGTTGCATCATCCACACCGTTTCAAGATCGTTGTGAGAGGTCGCGTTCCATATTCATTTATAAAGGTAGGAATTCGCCTCGCCGATTTCTTGTAGATATTCTGCTGAAAAACTGCAGAATCAAGTCATTCATTTATGTAGGGAATATAATTAAAGAGTCGAAAATTAGCCACAAGGCAAGACACAGCGTTCGAAAGAAGGCGAACGCCGTTCGATATGACGATAACAATCCCTTCGTACATGAGCTCACCGGGTAGATTGGAGCTCGCTCTTGCAGCAGAAGTCGGACTGTGGGCAGGAGTAGTTCAAACATGACGATTGTCGGTGGCGCGTTCGTAACGACAATTGAAAAGCCATCGTGAAACTGACCAAGGACCGCAAGTGAAAGGCACGCCGCTGCCGCGCCATTCCTGGCCGATGGTGCCATCTACCAGACTCGACACAGATGCACTCAAACTCGCCGTCGTAGCGATCGTCGCCGTTGCCTAAACGGTCCAGCGACCACCCGTCCAGGTGGTTGGCAAGGATTCAAGAGCGTCATCCTGGGCTTACACATGCGCAATTATCACGGCAACTCCGCGGACCCCACCGTGGAAATCATGTTCCATGGGATCAATTAGCCTTAGGTAATCGCCCTGTGGCGTCCACCAGCCCAAGATGAAACTCACCGCTTCGATAGCGTTGGCATACATTGAGCCACATCCGCACGACCCCCTCGATGCAACCATGAAGGTATCAAGGAATCGCATTCCAAATATGCTTACAACATTGGTTCGGCACACAGGCATTTTGGATGCAATACTTGGAAGACGATAATCATGTCAACATCGATGCCGCCCTTGCTGCGATATGGTGCGAAAGGAACGGAGACCCCGCGAGTTGATGGCTCATGTGTAGGCCAAATGCAGAGGGTACTTCGGCTCGTCGACCACCCCCTATAAACACAGCATGGGACAGCGAGCCGACGTCAGCGGCTTACGAACGACGGGTCGGTTCCTTTCCGGTGACTTGGACGTTTACTCCATTTCATGTTAGTCTCGCAATGATCTGGTGCACGCCCTGGGAGTCCATGGCTTAGCCGCGCTGGAGGTACGACGGCGTCAGTAGAGCACTCTTGACGGCTACGCTTGGCTCGAAAGGAATCGTTGCGGCACACAGCTCGCATTCGAATCCCAGATCTGTTTGAACGAGTGGCCGATGTGGCACCACACTGGGACGTACGTGGCAGCGTGGATGTGGCTCATGGGTTTTGCTCATGACACCACGCACGTAGATGTCGGCGGAGGCATTTTACGACTTTTGCCAGCCATTTTGTGACGCATCTGCGCCAGACACAGTGTGCACGCGCCAGTTCCTCGTCGCCGTTCGTTGCTTAGTCGAGGTCAACGCTTCGATTTAGAATCGTCCTGTAGATGCAATTGCCGGTCGGGGGGTTGCATCCAGCGGTCGAGCGTCTTCGAGACGCGTTGCAGCACATACCAGCTCAAGAGTTGGAAACCCAATGCGCCATGTTCGACATGGAGGACGACGGGTGGATCCTTTTGAGTGGTGAGTTCCTCCTGTTCTCATCTTCCTGCGACACGAAATAACTCAATCGAGGCATAGAATGTGTGGCTGTGCTTCACGCCTTACCAAACGTAGCGTTGACGCAGCTAGAGATCGAAGCCGGAGTGCGCCAGTTGGCTCAGGTTGGTGGCATCAACTTGATTTGCACAAGTCAACTAGCTCATGCGATTTGTTTAGCCGGACCTTCGCATTGCCTACAAGGACGTGTGCGCCGTGCTGGGAAGCTCGTCGGACGAAGGGTACGAGTGGGGTGGTGCTGCAACTCTGGATCGGTGGTAGCTAACAGGCTCATGCTCCGTCGCAGCTACGACGATCGGTGGCACAAACTGCGGATTCAGCTATGCGACGACAACCCTGACAAAGGTCAAGATGTTTTTCGCCAGCTCGAGCGCATATTCCAAAAACTGTCGAGCCATCCAAGTCGGTAGGGCCCCTTTACGCACCAAGGCAGCTTGTTGCTTGACGTATTTTAGCTGCATGATCACTGCGGGGGACCTTCAGAGAGTTCTGGGCGCTTTGTTGCCTCCGTCCGACCTTCAGTGGATCCATCGCTTGATGCGGAAATCTGTACGATCAAATGTGGCCCATGTTCGACCGTGATGGACGGGTGGGCTGCAGGACGGCAGTTTGGACGGCCAAGACTTCCTGGCGCGACTGTTTCCCACGACATTCCTTGCTATGTCAAGCGAAAGAAGCTTCCCTCAACCCCGACACCTTCCTGTCCATCCATTTCGGTCATCAACTCCCCGTGGCCGACTGCCGCCATCACATTACGATACTCACATCACGACAACGCGGGCACGTTCGGCGTCGCCGACACGCGCGATGCACTCTAAACTACGCGGCACTTCAACGGTTGACAGCCATCCATTTTTTCTACGACATGAACGAAAACACGCAGGGCCACCACTCGACAAAACCCCACACACTTCGAGTGTACTCCCCCCGCAGTCCAGGAAAAACCACCCCCCGAGACGACGCGGTGTTGCAGCAGCTGCGTGAAATCATTCACCACCAGCAAGTACGGCGTTCGCATGCGCAAACGACATGTTCATTCGCCATCAGATAGACTTGCTTGCCTTGAGTGATATCAGCGACGGTGCTGGGCTCGTTTCCCTCGACGCCGCCACGCAGGTCAGTCTTGTTACCCAGTGCTTCGTTCAACCACGTGACCAGGCGTTGTGGCGAGAGCTCGAGTCGCTGGACCTGCTGACGTTCGTCCAACTGCAGAAGGCCCTGCGACGATTCGCTACGTATGCTTCTGCCCATTGATAAGTCTCATGCAGTTGCCGGTCGCAGCGGAAAGGACGGCCGATTGAATCTGAAGAGCGTATGGGACGGCCTGTTTGACTGGTCGCGTCTGCGCAATGTGACATCGCATTCCATGGGTACATCACGGCATGTATCGGCCCATTCGTCCTCATGTGGCGCAGAGGACATGGCGGAATCGTTCGCTCGCTTCACCTCGTCTCGTCGGGGGTACCTGCGATGGCACCCTGACTTTCAGCGGGCACTCGACGAAGTACGTGCAGTTGTGTTCCCCACACAAGATTGCTGGACGGCGCCGTCTAGATGTTTGCCGTGGACTGGATGCCATGGGAGCACCAAGTGCTGTGTCATCGGTTCGGCCTAACCATGCACCATGAAATGTGGATCGATGTCCGAGCGTTCGTCAAGCATCTCGCAAGCTTGCCGCAGGACTTGTGGCCGCTCATCCAAGCCCACTGCGACTACCAAGAGATGGACCCAAACCACAAGGGGTACGTGGACCGTGCCGACCTGAAGCGTTTTCTCGCCCGCGTGCTACATCACAGCCCCACTCCATACGAGGTGAGCTGCCACATTTTCGCTTGACATCCTGTGACTGCGCGGTAGGTGAGCCAAGTGTGGCAGGTATTCCTCCAAGGCGACCCTACCGCAACGGTACTTTAGCAAGCGAGAATACAGAACTCATCGAGGCTTAGGTCATTAAGAAGCAGCATGTGACGGCGGCACTCAAGCGCGGCCAAGTCGGACCCAAGGGGCGACTTGGCTCAACTTAGACCCTTTGTTGGCTAGCAACTCAGAATGAACTTGTCAAACCTAGTCGCGACGACGGTTGGATACCGATAATGGAGCTGGCGCAACAGTCAATCGATTCAAACGTCGTCAAATTACACTCCAATGCGAAGCTCGGAGCGACTTGTTGGGGAACTCGCAAAGTGCTGGCTTAAGCGGAATTTGCAATCCATGCCTTGACTGCGTGAATGTGGTCTTGAACTGCCGACTCGCTCGTGCCCCCAGGCACATTCTTGCGCTCGACGCTGGCTTCGAAGTCCCAAATCGCCATCACGTCCGGTTCAAACTTGGGATGCAGCGACTGCAGTTCTGCCAACGTCAAGTCGCTCAGTGCCTTGCCAGCA